CAACAACAACAGCAGCAGCAACAACAACAACAACAACAGCAACAACAAAAGCAACAACAACAACAGCAGCAGGAACAACAGCAACAGCAACAACAGCATTCTCAAGCAATACCGATATCAGTTCCCACAATTGCCAATGCCATATTTCCATGGAAGGATGATTATCATATTATCAATGGTTCTGATGGTGAAAGTTCACCTGGAAGCAGGTATTGTTTTATTCAACTTTGATCAACTTATTTTTTTAATTAACATAATTTAAGTTAGTTACAACTTATTTCTAGCTTAATTTATGGGAATGAGAATGTGTTATCTGATTTTATTAAAACTATATCAGTTCAAATTAAGCTAAATTTATTCTCCAATTTTTTGACAGTTAAATTCTTCCACATAAATTTTAGTGAGCAACCATCGGATCCATCACCAATCGAACAAAAATACAGTCCACATGGTTCAAGTGATGATGGTTCCTTGAGTGATTTTGAATTAACACCTTTGGATTTATCAATGAAAGCATCTGGAACTGGAACAGCAGTAGCAGCGGTAACAATGCTTAGTACAAATTCGCAAATTGAAGATAAAGTTGCAATGATGGAGCAATCGAATGATGAAAAAGAGAAAAATGTAGAAAATGAAAGCGATCAAATATTTCCCGGATCAGGAATTCAAAAAGATGGCACAGGAATAGAGCATGAAAATTTGATTGCATCCACAGAATCATCAATAATACCTAAGAATTTTGGTAAATTGAATCTGACCCCAGCAGTAAATCCCTTTTCCTCCACCGCTTTCATGCAAATGCTTCGTCGTCCATTTACCTATCCTACCGTTCCTATACCTGCAACCGCTACAGCAACCAGTCACTTGAATCCCTACACACATCATTCAGCACCATCAGCACCTTTACTCTCAAAAACTGCACGTGACCGATATACATGCAAGTTTTGTGCTAAAGTTTTCCCACGTAGCGCGAATTTGACACGACACCTTCGAACACATACCGGTGAACAGCCTTACAAGGTAAAATTTCACAATAATTCATCATTAAAATTTTTTAATTTCTTATCTGTAAACGTTTGTTGGATGCTGCGCGGGTAATTCGATTGAAATTAATGTTATAACTTTATTGCCAACATTTCATTGCTAATGGACAACAGGGAGCAGAATGATGTCCAATTATCGGATGACGAAATGCAAGATTAAATTACAGTGGTAGTTTTCTAGCAAATCACTTTTCAAATAATTCTTAAATTCAAAAATGAATTCAAGTTACAACAAATTTAATATGTCACACTGTATCCCAGTTCATTTCATGATTGAATTTTTCATAAATTTTGCAATCGGAATTAGAAATTTGCAAATCCTTTTCATTTTTCAGCAAAATTTGCAGAAAAAGCAAGCTTTAATAAAATTGATTGTGGAATTATTTTTCATTAGTATTTACAAAATTATTTCCAGTTTATTTGCTCTAAGTTTATCGACGGGAGACTGAAAGGTTTCATTTATATCATAATAGTTAATCAGTTACTTATAAACTAGCTTAGATTTTTTAAAATTACTTCTTTTATTTTAAAAAATTAGTATTGTTTATTCTTTGTAATGGATTCATTGATCATGCAATCTAGGTATTTTAAAAAGTTAACAGTGCTCTTTCTTTGTAAAAAATAACTTAGCCGAGACCAAAATAATAAGTAGTTTATTTTTCTTGAAATGAAGGAAATGATTGCCAACGCATCAGAGAATGCATTCATCCGGAATTCTGGCTGGCTATATTATTCCGCCAGAGATTTAGTAATGTCAATAGCGAGAGTAAATGATTTGAACATGTTTTCACTGACATTCATTTCTAAATTCGGCCTTCCTGCAGGCATCGGGAAACCTTCAGTTTTTCCCCCCTCCTCCCCCCGCTCATTCAATTTCGATGGCCATATGTTCTTACCAATCAACATCATTTATGATGAGAGTGCGGTGTAAAAGTGAAAGTATTGCGCTGAAGACTTTAGCACACGCGGGGTCAACTGAACTCCCATGCTCTCTTCTCTTCTCTTGCTACACCTAAAAACCAGTTTTATGGGGCAATGTCCGCTGGCGTAATCGTCGTTTATTCGTTTTCCCACGAAATGATAAGTGAAATCAGATCAAGATTGATCTACTTCAGTAATCGCCAACATTCACCATCAATTTCAATTTTTTAACTGAGACTCATCCCTTGAAATCCATAAAATGAACTATGCAAAATTCCAATGCACTTATTCACGAATATAAAACATTCATAGAATTGCAAGGATCACATTCTCTTGAAGCTTCTTACTTACCGTTAAAATTTAATTTATTAAAAAATTTCATTTGCATCAGTACTATCAAACATCATGTTTTTTAGTGTCAATACTGTGATCGATCATTTTCAATCAGTTCAAATCTTCAGCGACATGTTCGCAACATACATAATAAGGAGAAACCATTCAGGTGATGATAATAGGCGTAATCATTAGAGTCAAGTATAATTACCTACCATTTAAGGAGGTAGCATTGATAATTATAATTCGTTTTTGTCGCTTTAAATTGTTATCATTTCATCTATCAATTTATGTCATCATAGTGGTTGAGATCGATCATTTATTATTATCATGCATTTTTATCATTCTTACTAGCTGTGAATGTGCAATAGTGCAGAAAATTTGCAAGAAATTTATTTGTTCTTCGATCTGAATATTACTATTCAAAACTTTTTGGTTTGTTAGTTGTCTTCATAGCAACTGCAGAAAAAACTTTTTATGACAATTAGTAACCCCATTTCGTGCTTACCATTGACCATTTCAATTTGATTGACTTGATCGACAACTTGAATGACTTGTTGCAGATGTGACCGCTGTGATCGCTGTTTTGGGCAGCAAACTAATTTGGATCGGCATACTAAGAAGCATGAATCAAGCGGGGCTTTGACGATTGCTACCGCTGCTGGAGCTCTGGCGGTTCGTCGGGAACCATTAACTGCACCAATAAGAACAGCTTCCGTTGCATTACCATTCTCGGCTCAAAGCCTTTTTTCACAACTAACACCATCCGTCCAGCCTATTTTCTAGAACTGTTCAATAAAACTTTCAAAAACAATCAAATTTATTTGGAAAAATAAATAATTTGTCATCCTTAGAATTTTTTTTTATTTAAATGGAAACAATAAATCCTCTCATTATGTACCAAACTTTTTATGTTTTCTACCTAAACTGTTAATTAACAATGTAGAATATTTAATCTCCTCTACTTAAAACGAAAAGCTCTTTTACAGATTTGATTTGATCTAACTGATCGGAGTAGTTCTGTCGTCCCTGAATAATATATTTTGAATTGGTCTTATTTTAGTTGACTTGAAAGGATATAATCAACTAATGATACTTTCCTGTATAGAGATTTTTTGTTGTTTCTTTTTTTAAAACGTTCATTTAATTTATCAGTTTTTTTAATATATATATTACATACATGTCCAGTCTTTCCAGTGATCAAAAAAGGAAAACCGGATTACATGTGCTGTATTCATTTTAAATTGATAATAAACAGCGCAGTACTTCTGCATTTACTTCAAAATAAGAAAATACACTTTTTGCTGCTACAACTCAAATGATTATTGTGTTAAAAATTGAGATTTTAAATGAAAATCATGTCAAATCTGCAAAAATTTTACTCCGGCAATATAAATCAAACTGGGCAATAAAAATTTGCACATATACATAATGATATATTAAGTAAAATCTTAAGGATGATATATTAAGTGAAATCTCAAGGATTTTCTCGAGATTACCTGTCAGTCCTTAGTATTCTACAGCATCACAAACTGCGGTACAGCAAATTTATGGACAAGTACCCAAAAGATATAAGAACCTTTGATACATAGGTAAATATTTTACGTCATAAGGTCACACTGTCAATCGACATTTGATTTTTTGTTTATATTTCTACCATTCTCGATAAAAAACTTCCAGGCAAAATCGGCCCTTTTTTTCGAAAGAATTGCAAAAGGCAGGTAAAATTTAGAAGCAATTCCTAAAAATTTTTTTCTGAAAGAATAATTCAAAAATTTCACTTCAATTAGTTCTGCTACGATTACATTCTTGTGCTGTTCAATTTGCAAGACTTTTTAATTTTCGAAAACATAAATTCCAGAAATAAGCTTACTTTTTTCCATTACATTGGATTCGAATATCTAGAAGCATAAATTTTTCACGTATTTGGTTAGAAATTTTTATGCTAAAAAGAAACATTTTTCACTGTTTATATATAACATACACGAAAGATAAATAAAATTAATAATATGGAATGTAAGAACAATTTGGAATTATTTATCTAAAAGGCTACCTGTTTAAATTGTCAAAAAAGATGTGCTTTAAAGTACAAACTGAAACAATTTACTATTCTCAGAGAAACGCAAGGCTCTTTTTGTTCACATTATCCAAAACTGGTGCCACCAATTCCCAGACATTTTCGGAAATTTCTTCAACAGACAAGGAGGCATCCACTACCTTAAATTGGATAACTGACTGATGTTATTATTCAGGAGAAAATTTCGTCAGGAAAATCTCCACAGCTAGTGAGTATCCTAATTCATTCAATCTATCTTTATTCAAAATTAAACAAAAAAAGAATAGCTCATTTAACTTACTTTCCACAGATCTTTGTCTTCAGCAGCGAACTTTTTCATAATGTCATTCACTTTCTCCTGGAAATTGCTAAAATCGAAGCGTTCATCACCAAATCCACTCCTTTTCTGTGCTTGATCGAATGGAAGATTCAAGTATATAACACAATCAGGTCTTAACTCACCCGTATCAGCCAGTTTTGCCCACTCCATTGTTATGTTTTCATCTCCTTAATCATGAATGTATGATTAACATAGAAGTAACAGATGTGAAATAGCTTTATATAGTGAAGTGTTAATCTTAAAACTTCACAATCAGTTTTACAAACAAAGATGAATTAATAACCAGGATACACCCACATCATGAGTGTACGAAATTTCCATAGGAAAATCTTATTTATTCAGTTAATATTAATTACGCAACTATCCCGAATGTCGCAATAACCTTGAAAAGTTAGAGTAAAAACAAAAATAGTGAGGATACCTTTTGCAAGAGTATAGGCGATGCCTGAATAAACATATCGGTCAACGACCAAATGCGTTCCCTCAAGCAATTTTTTCATCATTAGAGGCATAAGTGCTTGCCGATTTGCTGCGAATACTAAATGCGCTTCTTTAGGCTCCATTTCAACTTCCTTTTTCAAATAACGATCAATAAATTTGCCTAAGTCACTTGAACGATCTAAATTAGAATCATTTATTTCTTATTACTGTCAATATATCCAGAAAAGAAACTACGAAATTAGCATGGAAGTAATAGATGGAAACAGCTTTATATAGTGAAGTGTTGTTAGTCTTAAAACTTTACAATTAGTTTCACCAACAAAGATGAATTAATAACCAGGAAATGAAATCAAATTTGCATTGTCGCCTGTAACTTTGATACGTTCCACCAATTTTCTAGACTGTAAACTTTTACCAGCCTTATCACATCCTTCAAATATGATGAACGCACCACGTACCCGTGATCCCATTTGATACAGTTTCTATAATACTGACCACTTATATTATCCATATCACTAAAACTATTCAGTGTGAAATGAATTGTTACTTCCTAATAAGCAAAATTATCCTGGGATATGCAGTGTTACCCATCCGAGTATTATACATATAAACTCGTCAGCATTGTTCACCGATGTTTGCAGAAAGCAATATAACAGAGAACATAAAGTTCCACTTTACAGCAAATACCTAGCAAAATATCCTATTCCTTTTCTTCACATATTGAAAAGTAACTGGCAAAACTATCAATAAAATCAGAATTGGGATGGTAAAGTACGACCATTAAAACGAGGTCATCCTTTTTTTAGAAATGCAGAAATGAAGGACCAGAAGATTTCTCTCTAATATTCACTTTCTTTTGCTTGTAGAAATATCATCAGTTCGAACAATGGGAACTGTTCTTAACTGTGGAAACAGAGTATTTCATATTACAGTATTTCATATTACAGTATTTCATATAATTTATATTATAGTAGTAAACACATTTTAGAAAAACTAAAAAAGTTTCATACGGCAACAAACAGTAAGAACTGTAACAGTAAAAGTTAAGAAAGCCTAAAACTTTAATGCATTCACACGAAAGCAAAATCTATGTCGAAATTTATTATGACAGCAACAAATCCTAAACTTTATATCATTACGAAATATTAGACACAATAAATACCTAAAACTACAAAATATCTTAATGATAAAAATATTTCAGAAAAGATCAAAAATTTCTCTACTGCATCACCAATGATATCTCGCAACAGAAGCCGGAATCTCGTCATAGAAAAGTATTATTCCCAGAAGATAAGCAAAAAGAACGAAACGCAGAAAGGATCGTGGCTGCAAAATAAAACAAATATATAGTCCGCAAATCAGATACTTGAAAGATTATTGCATAAAGTACAGTAGAATTTTCTAGACCGATAAGAGTAAAAAATGAATTGATGATCCAAACTACCTACTGAAGTCTAAACTGTTAATCCTACTTGCTGGTTGCATTCAAGGGATGTTTAGTTCTTCACTAAAAACTAATCTTGTTTTTCCCAATGTATTTTAATCAGTTCTTTGTATTGTTGCAACTTTAGTGCTCACTAGAAAAATTCAATGAACATCCTTCCATGACTATAGCCTTATTCTCGAAATATGCTGTAGTGAAGTTGCACAAATATGCTTGCACAAACATGTTCTATGTTTTTCTTACTAGAAAAACAAAAATCCAACCAGATTAATGAGATAGTGGTCGAAATAATAGTGTTCGAATCTGTAAAAACTTTTCACAGCAGCGTATGCAATACCTCCAATCGACTTATCACGACGTGAAAACCATGAACGCAAATCGCATAATTTCACATCCATCAGTTTTGTATCTTCTAAAAACTAATTCAGAATAACAAAACTGATATGTTAGATATTAAAATTGATATTTTAGCAATTTTTTTAAGCTTCTCTTTATTAAAAAACATTTACCGAAAAGTTAAATTTCGTGCACAATATTCAAATCCAAATAAAGAATCATACTTTTAGTCCCATAATACCTCCAAGGACAATAAGGACCATGAACGCGAGCATTATACTCCTTATCTTGCACGCCAATCTCGAAGCGATTAAACACTCGATTGTACAAGTACACCCCGACGCGTTCCCAAAGACGGCAATAGGGCCGGTAAATATATACATCCCAATATAAATCGTTGTGGATTTTCGTGCCAGGCGGTAATGGTGGCACGAATGGCCGGAAGTATTTCGTTACGGGGATTTTTGTTGCCATCAGGCTGAAAAAAGAAAGCACAGAGCTTATGTAGTTTTACTAAAATCCCCTGAAATTCCAACAAAGCCAACATTTAGAGCTACTCATTTGAACCCAGCAAATTGAAAATTCTTGCTGATCAATGTAACTGATGTTTTGTAAGTATATAAAGTAACATAGTAAATAATACTGCTAGATCCAAAGAATGTCAATGATCAAGCTGTCGTGCGTCATTGGTTCACTCAATCACAAACAATTAAAAGGACTTTAAAACAAAATAGTAAAACCTAACTACTAAAATCACACAACGCAACCAGTATCACGTGCAAAACCTAATCAATGCAACATCTCTGAACCAGTCGCTATACAACTATCAATACTGCGCTATCGGACTTACGCATTTGTTGCAGCACACAATACGAATTAACAGCAATTATTTATCAACAGAAAGAACAATGACTGAATTCTTACAATACGGAATAAAATCAGAAAAACAGAAAAGTGGAATTATCCATATGATTGAAGTAAATCAACAAATAAAAAATGAGTTGAAAAGACGCATGCAGCTACATAAAAAAAATAAGCAAACATGTCATACTTAACAATTAGAATTTAACTTGAAAAACAACAGCTTTTAGAATGACAAACGTCATAAAATGACTCATATCATAAGAACTTTAACAAAGTGCGGCTACCCTCGAAGTACCTGCAGTGTTCCATTCAGTGCATTCAACCAAGCACTGCAAAGCTCTTTCGTATCCGCAGATAATAATACACTGAAAAAAAGATATATTCTTCGATCTGTGAACGTCGCTACTACTTCACTCTTTTAAGTGAGGCACTTTTTCTTAACAATAACTTGGTAATCAAAATAACAAACCGTTTCTTTTCTGTCAAAGAGGCTGATGTTGGAACTAGAAGATCGATGGTGAAAGCATTTGGACGTGAACAGATTTCATGTGGTGCATGGCTAATTTCTTTATTCGTACACTGCGAAAGTTCCATGCATGCAAGAACTGGCTGGAACAGAATTTATACTATAGAAACATCTTCCAAATCTCATAACATGGCTGTGAAAGATTAGATATACATAGAAACCTTTTCAGAAGCTTCATCATCTGGATATTTCCAAAATTGCACTACACCACAACGTAAAACGGCCCAATATCTAGCCCATGAGCCCAATCCAGATATTATTTGATACATGGTCTGAAATACAAATCACATTTCTTTAATTCATAAAAAAAGAATTAATGGAAATGAAATTCCATATAAAACTTAACCCTTATGATCTTTTGATTTGTGATATTTCGACTTACCAAAAATCCTTGGAAATCGATTTCAATAGTAGGAGAAAGTGTCGTGCAACGCGAGTCGATCTCAATTGTTCCCTCTAATGGATAAACTGCCCCATCTAGGTAGAATTTATGCATACCAATGGTGTCTCTGTTTAAACAAATATGTCCACAGCAAATGAATTCTGAGAAACCCACAACTGATTCATTACCGCATGTCTTTTTGGCTAAAAATTAAAGTTTGAAAAAGCAAAAGAGCGAGAAAAATTTATGAAACTTAAAGTGGATTTGACGAAGTTTTAAAACTAACATGGACTTAACAACGATTTCGCTTTGTTCCTTAGCATACTGCATGAATAATCATCCGAGCGACGATTTTCACTGACTTTCTAAACATTGTGTTAATTTCTAATATAATTTCGCCAATAAAATGAGTCTAGTTCAAAGCTTTGAACTTTAAAATGCAGTTACAAAGGACTATCAGACGAAATTCAAAGTATAAAGTTGTTGAGATTATAGATATCACTGTAAAACAAGCGTTAATCACAGCAACTTGCATCATCAGAAAACCTCGAAAGTATTCAAGATCTAGAAATATTGAATAAGAAACTGTTTTCTAACTAAGCTTTCCTTCCTAACGAGCAAACGATACGCTCAAGCAAAGCACACAGAGATTCTAAGGACTTCAAATACTACAAACAAATTAAAACTGTTGCTACCAAAGCGTAAATCTCCAATAGTACTGTAAAATCGATCGGTAGATTTGTAAAGCGAATTCGATCAGAAAAATGAACTTTGCTAACGCGCAAAGCTCGCGTGTCCATCAATGTAACTGTTTGTGTAGCTTCTACTTGTTCATCAGTTTTCAGAAGGATAACAAAAGCATACGAAACATCTAAATAAAAGCAGTTTTTTCATATCAAGAAAATTCAATGTAGGAAAAAGAAGATTCAGTAATAAATGGTCATGGTCATGAATAATTTACTTCATTAGAAATTATAAAAACGTGGAAGCCTTTCAACAACAAGCATCAGTGTGAACTTACTTTCATCGATATTACGAATGCAAAAATTGCGATTAAGATAAACGTCAATTGATGTAAGGTCGATAGCTCCACGCATGCGTTTCGTCATTGGAGGAACTGGTTCCTTTACAAACCGACGTGTTTTCAAACGCTGCATTTCATTTTGTAATGCTAGAAGTCGTTCGCGTGCCAATAACAAACCACGCTGAGCGCTTAGCTGTAGATGTATCACAAAATATCTGTACGAGTTTTCGTTTCATATTTTTTCTTGCTCTATTTTTTTAGATTTACTCAGAAATTTCTGTATAACAAAAGATGTAAAGCATTTGTAGCATAATTTAATTCAACAACTGCTTATCATTAACAGTAATCAGACAATAGTAAGAGTTGCTTATTTATAAAAGATAACAAACTTCAACAAGAGTGCCATTGAAACTGCTGTTCTTCTTACAGTGAGCTAATGCTAATGATGCTTGTGCGATTTGACCTTCCTGGATCATTATTTCCTGTTTTACATTCTGCAAGTCATGCTTCATATATAAAGATTTAAAAGAGCGATAATGAAGAAGAAAGAAATGAGGTGAGATAATACAATTGCAACTCATGGAATTTCAATGATTTTACCAAAGATGGAAATCGCTCCGACACCAAATATGCGAATGATTAGGATTTAAACAGATAAATCTACTTTTTTACTAGGACTCTAGATAAATTCAGTATGCCATCATTACTTGCATCTCTATATCTGATTGTTGTAGTTGAACGATTTCCTGTGCTGTTGAAGCCGTTATTGAGGAGATACCACTTCGATTAAGCACACAACTAGCAGGAGTATGCATGCGACTATTAGCTGCTGGCGAACCATCAAGAGGAGTAGAAGTGGCCATTGGATCCGTTGTAACCATGTAACTTTGACTTAGTAATTTTGCACTTTTTATCTAGAAATAAATTATTGCCGGTTCCACTATTTACAGCTGCTTTTATTTTCGTCGGGATAGTATACATGACCATTCTAATTACACTTTATATGTATCAATTGCCATAGACGAGGTTTAGGAAACATCAATGAACAACATTAGGAGGCTAAAGATGATTAGTTTTTTCTATACCACATTTACGAAGGCCATAATACAATTTTAAATTTAGAGGAAAAATAGAACTGTTCAAAAAGTGGAGACTCAACAGTCCCTAAACTAGATTTTCTAAAAAACCGCTTTTACAAGAAATCGATTTCTGAATATAAAGATAAACTTACAACCGAATTTTTGTGTTCATGAGTTGCCAATCGTTCGTCAGCAGATGGAGGTGGCAAATAAACGAGTGAAGAGAAATGAACAGGGATGTCACCATTTGGTGATTTACGATGCTCTCTTTCCAGATCACGGTATAGTGAGATCTGGATAAAATTCTTGTAAACGTCGAAAAAACGATGCAAACATAATAAAGTGATGAAGCAATGAAAGTTTTGAATATCTCCAGAATACATGAGGAATTATAGATTTAATATTTTATATTTTTGAAATGCTTAGTCTTAACAAATGTAGAAATTATCTTGCCACTGACCGAATAATTATCTTTCGTAGGTGGCGATGGTTTTTCCAAAGATTCTTGCGAACATTGTTGGCGAGGAGTTATTAGTGACTCAGTCTACAATATAATTTGTAAGATTTAAGTTGCTAAAATTACAATGAATTAACTATGAGACGCTCATTATGAAAATCAATCAAAGCAAACCTTGTTGACGAAATCAAATGCTTTTTCTACTTCAGCAACATGATCGATAACTTCGCCATCAAATTTTTCCTCACAAGTATCTACAAAATCACAAATACCATAAATTGTAAAAAAACGATCAAAAAGTCAATGGATTCCGACATCATTTAGAGAATGAAAATCAACAACAAAATTGCTTACGTTTTTGCAAACGGTCAATAGCAGCAGTTACGGGGCAGCTCGGTTGTACTTCAGGCTTGTAATTAATTTGGCGAATGCGCGTTTGCATAGCATAAGATGATTTCCGATTGAGAATCTGTAATATATCTTACAATCAATAGACTCTGCATATATGCGAATAAGAAATCATTTTTACATCTCAAAATCTAAATTTTTGCCAATGGAATGAATCTAATTGGTGTTGTGGATCTGTTATAAATGTCGGATTTAAACATCAACGCTTAGTGATTTGTAAAAAGTTTTTTCACTTTTTATCAGCCGTTGATGAGGAAATCACTCTACCTCATTCGTCATCCTGCTGTAGCTGCTGTCATAACGTTTTAAGCTGGTTATTCCCTGAAAATAAATTTCAAATAGCAAGCGAGAATTCGAATCTTCTAAACATTTCTGTCACGTCGACATTGAAAAAGTCATACTTATCAACAAAAATGAGCGAGGAAAAACGAAAACCTTGCGCAATCCCAATTCGTATTGCTGCTGATCCCAAACGTTAGCGCAGCTCGTATTATCGTATGGTAAATTATGGGAGGGACTTCTGTCATTCCATTCATCCGATCGCAATGAAGGTGATCTTGCAACGCTACAAAGATTGTAATTCGAGTCAACGGTATACTGTACATTTTGAATATTTTTATAATTGGTAACACCCGGTTGTAACATTCTCGTAAGGTACTGGGAGTATCGTTTTTGACTCTTTGGTTTTCGTGGTGTTGTATCGGTTTGAATTGCTCTCGGTGAATTCTGATATCCATTTGAGTTCGACACTGATTCAAACCTAAAAACATCAATGCAAAAAATGAAAATTTATGCAATAAAGAAACTAAAGATATAAAACCCAACCGATTGACAATGCTCCGTACGCTATGTACATCAATCTGCTTTTCTCTTGTAAACTGTTCTTTAAAAGTATTTCTTTTGCATGGAACTGAGAGACCTAAATGAGTTCCATATCTTTCCAAGCTTGTAGTCATATCTCTCCGTCGTTGCAAGAATAAATCGTCTGAAATATTGAATTCTTTTAAGTTGGGAAATAAAAAAAAGTTATCAAATGAATAGAATTGAGCTTCTAAAAAACAGTAGACAAAATAAACCTTGAAAAAGTTCTCTGTTATTGATTTCGGGATCTCGATAATGGGTTTTATTGATAATGTTCGGCGGAACTGATTTGCCGCGCCGTTTCAAATGATCCATCTCTCGCAACATTTCTAGACTTGCTGCATCATTCATAGTTTCAAACAATGATGCCAATTTACGTGTTTGTCCTCTTGGCAAACGGTCACTGAGCATATATTAAGGACATCAGTATATGACTTCTGATTAAAAATCTTTGCTAGTAGTCAAAATTACCGTTGAAATATTAAGAATAAAGGGCATTATCATATATACAGAATTGTTCCTAACTGTGGCATAAACATAATCAGTTACAAAAACATTTTTGGGATGGTAGAAGATACTTAGATTAAAATGTGCGTCTTCATTTAATATTTATGTTATATCTTTTCTGCAGCGAGATTAGTTCAGATCCTATTACTTGACAAAATTGTTGAATTTCGAATTATGATTAAGCGAGATACGATTTAAACAATAAATTAATAAAATGCATATGTGGCCAAGACAAAGTCAGTATCAGAAATGCTGTAACAGAACCTCAGTTTGTATTTTTGCTAGGCATAAAAATTCAGCCGATGTCTTGCAAATAGGAAGTAGCGCATTCTGCGAATCTAATTTTTAAAAAAAAAATTTCTCTATACATGATATCTCCACAAAGTATACTAGCAAGACTTGCCAATATTTTCCATATGTACTTATACTAGCAAAACTTGCCAATATTTTCTCGTCAGAAAGATAATCTGTTTCTGACTCTAAAGCATACCGAATTGTTGAGCGACCATCGCTGCCTGATATTTGTGATGTTTTCTCAGAGTTATTTTCATGGCAATATTGCTTCAGATCTTCCTTCGGTTCCTGGGCTACACATTCATACTGCTGGTTTACAACCATTGCTGCTTTTTCATCCACCTTAAATAACTATCCTTCAACTCATTTTCTACTAACTAGTATTAGTGAAAATTGCCTGACAAAACTGTGCATTTTATGGTTAAACAAAAGTATAATTCAAGCACTCTGCAACCAGGAAACCGTGAAATGAGCGGTAATAAGATAGTGGAATTATACATGGAATTCACTAAAGTAGCAAAAACCAATGATTTTTAGGTGACTAAAATGAAAACAACCTCAGATCTAACTGACAAATTTTTTACATGCGGTAATGGAGCATCGCTCCTGTCAACAAAGTCATTTAATCCGTTGTTCGTTCTCTGAAAAAAGAAGAATCAGCTCTGATGAACAACATTAATAATTCATAAGAACAATGTATTGTATTTTATACAAAGTAGAAGAAAAATGAGAATAATAATGTCAAACTTTCAAAAAACTTACTGTGAAGCTTTGAATATTCAAAATCTTTTGTGACGGCGATTTTGGGTCACCTGGTGGTGTTGAATAAAAACTGTTCAATCGTTCCTCGCCGAATGATCCATTCTGACTTCCAGCGTTATTTAAACGTCGTTGTAACATTGTGTTCAGCACAGATACTGCCCTATTCGTGTCCTGAAACAGAAAAACATAAGACTAGAATCTTGAAAGTGACAAACATATGATTTCGAAATGCAACAATTTTACCTCTAATGACTGTTTCACTACAGGCTCCTTAGTTTGAGAATATTTATCTCTGAATAAAGCAGCCGTCTCCGTGTCCTCACTGTTCTCATTTTTCTCTTCGTACTTGAATTGATAAGTACTGTTCGGAAAACACTGCATTTCCAAGTGACTTACTGGATAAATAATAGTATTGTGCGTGACAAAGCAATGTCTTTTCAATTCGTCTTTGGATAGTTCCTGGAGAAGTCTGATTATGAAAAGCTATAAAACATGCTTACGCGAAAAAGCAATGAGGTACATCTGATTTAACTTAAACAGAAAAAAAATACAAGCCAAATCCAGAAAAAAGGTCTCCATAAAGTAAGCAAAATGAATGTAGCAGTGTACATCAAGATACTGCGCTCTCAAAAAAAAGTTTCTTACTATTTCTAAACAATAAATTTTCACGCCGATTTACCTAGGCAAGTACGATAAAGCAATAGGTACAAAAAAGCATTAGAGCTCCTTAAAAACAATACACATAGAAAAACTGGCATAATTTTTATTTAGTTTTCATTATTTGTTGTTATAGGCATCAATAACATATAGCTTACGACCTTTGTATTTTGTTCAACATTTGTTTTGTTTTTAACATATTCTTCACGATTAATTTGCGTTTGGTTGAAATCACATTCTGATTTGTGAACGTTGTCTGATAGCATTATGCAAGATAGTGATGTGTCTTTCAAAGTCTCCTAAATTTTTAGAAGATTGCCAAAAGAGAAATTTTTCTCTTAAAAAGTCATATTCATTAAAAAAATGGACATTAGAAGTACATTTAAACTTCAGAATTATGAATTTCTTGCCTATCTCTTTTGCTACATCACCATTTCTCGGCGTTTGCATAGGCAGTTCCATCGAAGGAGTAATACCACCTTATTACTGTCTCAGTAATGCATATAATTATACTTTTAGTCCAAGATATTTTTTAAATACCACTAACCAATAAGACAGAGTCATTAAAAGTTTTGGTGCTACGAGCAGATGAAGGTGTAAGATTAGACGGTAATTCCGTTAACGGTATACAATCACACAATTCCTTCAGCAGTGTTTTTTGATCTTTTGGTGCTGTCAGTAATATTTCAGCCTGAAAAGAGATTTAATAACAAATCTCCGCTAATTCTCAGAACATAATAATAATAATAAGCATAATGTTACTGATTTATAAAGCTGCTTGTAAACTAACCTGATTGTCGTGGCTATATTTCGATGAAAATCCAATGTCCGATATTAACACATTGTTTTCAGAAACTGCAGCAACCTAAAATGAGAATAATATCTTGAGTTCTAACAGACGCAAGGCAGCTACCAAAATATCAAATGCAAGATTTTAAGCAAATGTTGAAACATTTTCATTTACTTTTCCAATATCAATTGCAGTGTTTGTATTCCCACTCGTTGTGAAGATCGCAGCACGATTGCAATTTTGCTGAAAAAAATCTTAAATTTTCAATTTTTGCATTATGAGTTCTTCTCTTTAATTTGTAGTGTTTTAAATCGATATATACAGTTTCTGGAAATCTACACATCAGTTTTTTTCCTCAGTTTAGTTGAATCTGACAGGTGAAAATCGATTAAATTCACATTCGTAATGTGATGCTACACCAAAAATAATAATCAAAAGGTTATCATTTTACTATGAAAAATTTCAACAAACCACAGAAAGAGAAAGGCCTCTCCATCTTGGTGCAAAGCGTGAATTAAAAGATGCTTCACCACATATAGCAGCAAGACAATCGTCTGAGGCTCGATGTGTTCCGTTATAAAAATCCTGAAAAGTAATGAAGCCAAATAGATTTTGCCGCTTGAAATTATGTTTTAACCAGTTTCTTCCTAGAACTTCTATACATTTGAGAACCTGTACCGAGATGATTTTATCGATATAAAAACTCATCAATCTTTCAAGATTTAAATTTACTTCAAAAATCTATATATCAACTGCTATATAAGCAGAAATTCCTTTCAATATGTTCCACAATTTCAAGCATTTTCGAGAACAAAGATCCTAATGAATATGGTCTTTCATTCTATTGAACCGTAGCTTGTTCATAAATATCATCTCATTTTTTTGTCTTGTGATGTGATGGTGCTTTTCTTTGTTGATGTTTAATCTTAATGGATACTTCTCTACTACTTTAAAATAAGAGAACCAGACGTTTCAAAACGAAATAAAAGCTTATGATTCTTGCTAGTATGTTCAATTGTATTCAGTTAAATTAAATGATTGCACACATTGACAAGTGCATATTCTTGTCTTATTTTTTGGGAGAGCTAGAAACATAAATTAAATGCTGATAATAAATTAAATGGAACAATTGAATCATTTCGCAACGCTAATGTACAGGCGGTTTTCGAAGTAAAGACAGATCTTTCTATTCTTACTTCGAAATTAGATGAAATGAAACAGTTTAAAACTGTTTCGTTTCGTCTAATCCCTCGCACAACAAAAAATTCATCCCATATTTTAAATGAAAATAAGTTTTGATGGATGACTGTTGATTAATGCTCCGTGCATTAAATATGTAGACGTAACTCTTTTTTGCAGCCAGTAAAACATAGGAATTACTTCAGAAAATAAGTTTTCCCTTGACAGAAAAACTGAATCTCTTCCATCAAAATCCTAGCTCGCTATACATGGAAAAAATGTACTTCTTACATGTATAAATCTACCACTTTTGGAACCAAGAGAAATCTTTTCTATTACATTTTAAAGCTTCCTGAATACTTCCTCTAGCTTGAGTTTTGGATAATAATATTAAAAAGAAATAACAAGGAATAAAGTAAGTGTAAAAGATCAATCTTGAACTAACATCGAATATGTTTTTTTTGGGAGTTGCTATATACTTGTTCATATCGCCCATATTATAAACTTCATCTGAATCGTGATTTAACTGAAAAAAAATCATTCAAAAAACATCATATGTTTGGAGTTGCAAGAATGCATGGCAGAACTATGAGTTAATTCAAACTTTGCACATTTTTAGGACCGATTTTGAGTGAATAATACGACACTTAGAAAGTGATAAAGACAAACCACGTGACGCTACCAAAACAAATGAGATAAAAATCCACCTCAATAAAAAAATTTTCGTTGGATGCAGAAGCAAGTTTTTGTCCAGAAACACTCAAAGTTCGAGTAATATTTAAGTCAACGTTTTCCTGAAATAGGAATTACGAAATTAATCTTGGGTAGCAATATTCTCGTGTCCTAGGTGTATAAGATAAAGAAAATTAACTTTATTACCTCAGTGTGAAGGATTTCCAGTGATGTTGCGGTGCTTTTTAGCTTACTGGTATGCGGGTTTTGAGATTTGTCGAAGTCGAGATGAAGCTGCAAACATTGAACATTATAAGATTAAATCTGATATTAAATATTTTTCATCTAATCAACTGGTCTTTGGAATCAAATATACATTTGATTAAAACTGCATTATTTAAATGCGATGATGGAAGATCTGTTTCATGTTCCTCGTCAATGTAAACACATTAACAACAATCGATGGAACTACATCTTTTTATCTTTCAGAATGATATATAAATGATCAAGCAGATGACAAAAAAAACATCTTTAAAAAAATTATCAAATGAATTCTCAATTAAAATGACACATTGTTAGTTAGGCCATCTTTTACATCAATACCATCTCTGCTTAAATTTACAACGATTATTATTATATTGCAAACCTCAAAACAAGAGTTCCATGATGAATCAGTATTAGTCTCCTTCGTTTTCGAGCTATGCGATTTGCTCACATTGCACAACTATAATTTTTTACAGTAACTTCTACGAAATAATTCTTTTCGCAATCTTCGAAATCTCAGAGAAGACTACAGCAAACGAAAAAAATGCAGAAAGAAATAATTTTCAATATCACACAGAACTTCATATCGATTACAATCAGTGGGGCTAAAAAGAAATTGAGTACCACCACGACAAATCCATCTAATTCAGTCCTTTGTAATTTAAAGAGGATAGAATATCGCAAAAATATTTTTTCGTTTTTTGAATGAATTTTCTCACGTGTAGCGAGTAAGGACACTTCGCAGTGATCAGTAACAATGCAAATTTGATTTTGGAAAATTATAACATTTCTAGAATCAATAAGGAATGGCTCACCTCACTGCGAACACTTAATGATGTCCCACTTCGCTGTGGAAACAAGTATTGCTGATCGACATCAAAACATACTTCTCTGACAAGGTTACTTTTCTGAAAATCAGTAAATTTGTAACATTATTTATAATGCTACTCAAGAAATTATTTCAAAGACTAGTTCGATATATGATTTATATATACATAGCGATAAGTCACAATTAAGAGATGTTATTGAGAATATTATTTTACCCCTTCCCTTCCTTCCCTCCTCCGCTCCTCCCCCCCCTCTGAAGGAAAAATGCCCACCATAGCAGCAATGGACCATAAATTAAAGACATTTAAGATTCAGAGCTTCCAAGGAAACTTACATTTGTAGATATCAAGATGGTATTGTCATTAAGATCGTCTTCGTTATCTAATTCAATGTCTTGCGTGATTGCAGTGGTTATCTGTAATAGTCTACTTTATGCAAGTCGTAATCCAAATAATATACTTTTTTATAAAAAGCGAAAATCTACGCATTTTTTTTTGAAAACTGGAAACTGGAAACCTCATCGGTTGTTGTAGTAGTAGTGTGACTATTCGCTGCGGATACAATTTCAAGTTCAGTCGCATCATTTTCCACAAAATTCTAAAGTCGTTTTCAATGTTATTATTTTCATCAATAATTTGCTTTATGCCTGAGAGTTTAATAACAAATCACCTCATAATCTAACCCGCAGCTTTACAGACTCGCCTATAGCATATAACAATAAATACAGATCCCCAATTTGAATATATTTCGTCACCTAACTATTTGAGAGTCTTAACAAAGAATAAATGAACTAACGATATTAGTTACAGATAGCATTTCTGACTCATTGTTTCCTATCTCAGAGGAAATCTTCAAGTCTTCATACACTACCTTGTTTTCCGTTTCTTGCTGTGGAAGGTCCGTCGCTTTGGGCTGAAAAGGAAAATGAGGTAAAGTCCTACCGAGTTTTGCGAGGTGCTGATAGCCTGTTACTTTTATTCCTTGATGTAGTGATGCACGCCACATAACTTTGCATACAGACTGCATTGTATGCATTTTTTTCAGTATAATACATCATATTTGCTGCTTTGTCATCCAACTTTTAGAAGTTCGCGGTAAAAATGAATCGAAAACAACCAAAAGCTTATGTTATAAATGCCTTGTGTTATAAATTGATGCTTATTTTATAAACTGAAGTTTTATAAACACATCGTATATTTTCAAGTTGGTGAACGAGGAATCTTGTTCACATCACGACACTGAAATTTCGAAACTTTCAATATGCTAGAAAATTTTGAAATGCAACTATATAAACCGATACTCCTAAAAGATGACTGCAGAGGACAACTGTAAAACTCTGGGAAACATATGACGAAGGCATTAGTAAAAAAAGAGCGAAAGGATCTGGTCACACCAAACTATATTTGCCTCAACCGCGAAACTTTTTGAATAAAATAATAACATTTCCACGATCGCGGCATCTACCATCGCCCTTATATCCACAGCTGTAGTATCTGTAGTTATGTCCTCCATAACCGCCAAAATCCTGAATGTTCTTCAGTGTTATTCAGATATTATAATTAAAATTTCTTAAAAAAAAACTTTGAAAAAAAGAAATAAGAAAGAGTTTTGTTGGATGAAACATACTTTCAAATTTCCAGATAAAAAATCAAAAGAGGCTGAACAATACTCATTTAAATCTACCATGTTAGTAAAAATTATGCTAAAGTGAAATCTGCTTAATTCAAAAATTGACAAAAAAAACTTACACGACCACGTCTTCTACCCATTTTGAAACTTTCTGCAGCAGTGCACGAACGGATATCGCTGAAATGGGACCGTAAAGGAAGAAAATCTCACCGCACTCGTTCAATGGGAGAAAAGTCTTTACAGAAACTCATTCTTCCCACGCACTGGCAAAAGAAGCTTCCCACAAACTCTTCCTATTCCACTTACTGAGAGAACCGACCGGACAAAGAACTCCCGGGAACACACAACTAACAGCACCTCACGCAACAACCCATTGGAAGCCTAAAAAATGCAACATTTCCTAGCATAAATTGGAATGGATCAGCCTACGTGATTTATGAAAAATTGTCTACGTGATTTATTCAAAAAAATCGCTCGTTGAGGACTTTCGCTCGTTATATATTTGAATGAATGATGGGATCGATCATTCGTAAATGTTATTCCTGAGATATTTCAAAACTTTTGCGATATTCCAAAAAAAAAAAATCTCTTCTATCGTGTTTACTGAAAGAAAAAATTCCAGAAGGAAGTTACGAGATATATGCATAGCGGTTATGCTTTGCAAGAGCACATGGAAAGTTCAATAAATACCTAATAGCAGTAATCGGAATAGTCTAAGCTATATAATTTATGCGGGAATTATTCGGTCTATTTTTTTGGGACTTTAATTTGAAAATGTTTGGAGAAACTTAGTGAATTGGTGCTCGAAATATTTCAGGGAATGTTTGGAGTTGAGGAAGACAATGAAGAACGATCAGAAAAGTATAATATCTGTGGGTGCTTATTGTCGCTAAAAGGTAAGGATGAGTCTTTTGAAGCAAATTTAAACCATTATATTTGTTTCAGTTTTGATTTTCCATGTATCAACTCTAAGTATCAGACGAATTAGTTTATCAGGAAAAAAATCGATTTTAGGACTAGAAAGACTCCTTTTCAGAATTCATTCTTCGATCAGTAAGATGTTCAAAACTTAGGTTGCATTTAGCTGAGGCACAGTATTCAATTGTTGATCATTGACCTCTGTTATAAATTCATTTAATTAAGAGCTGAAATGCATGAATTGTTGATCATTTATGATAAGCAGTTCTTTATTATTTCCAAGATTGATCGAATTTAATTTATTCATCCTGTCTACAACTTCAAAGATCACCAGCTAATTTACTTGAAAATAAGAAATGAAATATTTGTTATTGCAAATATTTCACGGTTTTTTATTGCTATAACACAACCGATGGAATTGATTTTATTCAGTCGCATTTACTAAAGGAACTGAAAGCGGTCAGAAAGGCTGATACTCCAATTGTTGGATTTTCATAGAAAAGAGAACAAAGAATCTTTTCTAGATTAGTTCCTGATGTAATCTAATTTTCCAATCGTTACTAGAGAACTTTTCCTCTGCTTATTCCAGAAAAATTTTCTCCGGATAGTTTTACATCCTTATTTAAAAGAAGTTAATGTAATTTAAAAAATTTGCAAATCATTGGAAGGATGGGAAGAGATATGAAGTGATGGCTATCACAGTTAAGCTAACCAGTAGCTGACTGCAGGTATCACAAATTCATGCCTGATCCCGAGTACTTGAAAACGTTGCAATTAGTTATAATTTGCGTTCTTCAGTTTATCAGGATGTACAAAGTGATAATGACAATAAAAGGACTTTCGGCATATGTGCTGGAAGGAATATATTCTCTACGTTTCGCTGTTATACTATTAACATTTATCATTCTTTTCTTTATCATCGTACAAATATGTGAAGTTTTTTATTCGTTTATACGATTAACACAATCAAATGTTAGTTTTTAAAAGTCGTTTTCAATTTTTTTTCCTTTATAATAGGTTTTTTATGACTAAGAGATAATAAAGTACCTGAATAGAGGAATGAAGAGAACAAGTGAGTAACGTGAAGCTTTTAGTACTATGATGATGATTCTCAAAGAATGCAAGAGTAGTCTTAAGTTTGGGACAGTTATAAAAAAAAAATTATTTAAATTAATCTTCTTATTCCTCTTATTCCGGCTTTTTACCAAGCACTGGATCAATGTAACGATAACGTCTATGTAAAAACTTAAGTGAAGTTTATTTCAGTGTCGTCTTATCCTGAACATTCTGACTTTATTCCTCAAACCATTAGAGTAATACCTAAGGGCAATGCCATTCCTCTCAAAGCAATAGTTCTTATTTTTATTTTTTAAGAAATTGTAATTAACGATAAAATCCAATTGGAAAGAAAAGAATGATGTAAGACGTGACAATAATTTGACTCTAATCTTATAAAAATATCTGTCTGCCCTTCTCCATTTACATAAATGTATTTTTATATATTTGCATATGCCATTTTTTTTAATTTTATGATCTTTTTAGCTGGAAAATGATAAATATGGTCTAACGGGAATCATTATGGAAGGTCCTAATAATTCAAGGCAAATAAGCCTGAGAAAAGAAAGGTTATCTTTTTGTTCCTTCTTCAAATACTTTAACTACTTCATTGAGAGGATAAGATTATATCTAAGTAAGAGATCGCTTCCTTGAAAATGATGCTAAGCGTAGTTGAGATAAATGATATAAGCACAAATTGGTATTGTCTTTTTTACTCTTCAACAATGAGCACTGAAGACACCATGCAACTTTCGTCTTTCAGTAAAGAAACTGAAAGAAGAAATCAACATAAAGGGATATTTGATGAGGTTATCATTTTCCACTTTACCAGCACATTTATGCTAATTTAATATTAAATTCTGAAAATTTCAAAAATTTCACTATATTGATTTTTTCAAAGCGTGATATTAAAGAAATCATCACTTTCCACATCAATTGTTCCATCCGATTCATTGAGCTGCTCAAGAAAACAGTTAGAAGAAAATTCTCTCAAGCAGAAATACTTAAGTATATTTTTGATTCATTATCGTGGTATACTTGTTGAATATTTGGTTACAAGTAGAATATTAGTTTATTTTGGATCTGAATTGAGCGCTCTAAAATGGAATTAGTTTTTGAAGCGAAGCAGTTATAGAGAGCTTGCTTCAAAATTTCTGAACTTTCATTTAAAGTCAGAAATTGTTACTGTTTCATTTTTAACGATCTTAATCTGCTTTTGTCCAAAGTTTGTTTTCGTTTTGTACCATTCAAGTTTACTCAAAAACGAGTGCTTATATATATATATATATATATAATATATTCGCGTCTGTAATGAATTTTCATGAGATTAAGTGATTTTGAAATCATTTTTTGGAATGAATAGATCTGTGAGAGTTCCACGATCTTTTCTCACTTTTACTACTCTTTATTCACTCACCAAATTATAATTTTAATATATTGCAGCAACTAAAGAACAGTTAGCTAACAAGCTATCAATTACAACAAGTAAAGGATCAAAAAAACCATTGCCAGTAACAATCAATTCGCCTAATGAAGAAAGTAGGAAAATTTCCAAATTTACAGGTAATATAAAAAATTATAAGCGAAATCCTAAATTATTAACCACCTATAACTAAATGATCAGAGGAAAATCATTTTGAATGCTATTTGGCTCTTCCTAGAAATAATTTAGCTTTTTTTGCAGGCTACGCTTAGGTTACGAGTGATTTAACAATATCGTCAAGGTTTCATTTTTTTAAGATTTTCAATCATCCTTTATATTTCAATTCCTAACTTTGGTAATGTGATTTCTTGATTATATAACCTTAGACTGTTTTTTAGAATACGTAAAGCAATATGTATCTAAAAAAATGGTAAGATTATGGTAACAAAAATTAAGTTAATTTCTAATGTTTGATATCTCATCAATTTATTAATTGACAGTTTAGAAAATGCAGGTTCTTTAAATCTCAATTCTCACAAATATCGCATATATCCTCGGTACTACTCTTGCTTGCCCAAAATATGTATCTGGGTAAACATTAGGCAAAATAATAAGGAATACAAGTGTGGTTTGTAATGTTAGCTTCTTAGCTTTTGTTTTGTTTTATAACTCTGTTTTGATATCAGAATGAATTTCAGAAAGGAATAAGGGAAGAAAAAAGACCGGCACAGATTGCCAAGCTGATGCATTTCTTATTTTCCAATCACTGCTTAATTATGAATATCTCATTTGTTTTCTAATTTTCATTGTAAAAATGTCGATTTCTTAATTTTTTTGTTTCAAGAAAGCAAAAGTGAAATAAAATCTAAAGGAAAATTTTAGCAAATGAAGAGAGTGAAACTTTTCCAGCATACTTGTTGCCAGATGTGGGAAAAATTGATCAAATCAATCTTTTTCTGAAAAAAAATTCAATTCATTTTCTCTAAAAAAAAGAAAATAAACATCTGATAAAGCTTTTTTGATTTTAATCGTATTGGAACATGGTATGAATTCAAAAAGTTAGATGATAAATAGCGCATCCATATATTGCATGTTCGATTGTTGAATTGTGTCGATTTATTTCTGATATCGGGTCATCCTCAAATTCGGACAATGATTTGTAGATGGAATGAAAGTCGGTTAGATAAACGACACATTTCTATCACTTCATCTCTTATTGCTTTCACAGCTGGTCCGCTGATGCTAAGTTTATCATTACTTTCACTTACTCTTGCTCTTTCTTCATCAGCAATCATCTTGTAAGCACCTTTTTCTTATTCAAGGTAGAAATTAGCCGCAATAAAATTTAAAAATTTACTTTGCAAGTGATGAAATTGATGGATAAAAGCCACTATTTACTGTTTTTAACTTTTTACTAAAAGTGATTTAATATAAGCGCGAAATATTGCAATCTTCTCATTTCATAAATTTGATCAATTTTATTTGATTGTCGATGAAATGAAAAGATAAACATAACTATCCTTGGTATTATTGGTGAGCTGTTTTTCTTTTTTAAGGGATTCAATTATAAATGCAAAATCAACTTCATACAAAGATAGACGAATTTGCGACAGGGTCGCACCTGGTTTTGTGCAACCTAGGCTGAAGAAACGGTATGGTAAGTGAATATGTTGAAGATTTGTTATTTATCAATATTGATGAAATTTGTGATGAATATTTAATGAATTATCAGCATTCCGAAATCACATATTCAATCGATTTCGATTATCATTAGCTTTCTTTTTTAACTATATTTATCATGGGAAAGTTTTTGAGTTAGATGAAGTCGAAAAACATGAAGCTTTGATTTATAACTATTCCACATCAAATTATGTTAATCATTTAGCCAGTGAGAATCACGAAAACAAATTTTAAAATTGTGTCGTTTACTTGAGAATAACTAATTCTGTTGCTTTTTTCAATTCAATTACAAAGGCTATTTTAGTCCTGAATAAGAACAAATGGTATACCGGGACGCTATCCTGGTCATTTCGGGATCCGTTTCATCTTTTCAAAAACGATCAAAAATTTGCCATTGTAAAGTTGGTCTTTTGCTATTTACATTTTCATTCTATTATTCGAGAAAATTTCTTCAACTCATCAATTTATCATGGGAAATTTTTCTCATTTTTCGTGCATTTATCACATCATTTCTTTTCGTTAAAAAAAATCGTTTCAATTCATGAATTTCAATGTATTCCTGAAATTTCAAATTTTAATCATGGAGTAAATAAATCATTTAACCAAGAAAGTAAATCATTATCTGCCAATTTTGCATAGTTGAAATTTTGTGAATCCATGTTTTTATCTACCACTTTTCAAGGAATATTCTCCGACAAGCTTTCGAGAAATGGTCAAACTCATCAAGGGGCGCTCTTATATTCAAAGATCTTTCTCCAATGGATCGAACTAAAGGAAATATTGGCGCAAATTTTGATATTTTATTTGCTAAATACGCTCATGGTGATAAAGAATCGTTTGATGGGTTTGGTGGAATTGTGGCTCATTCGGGATATCCTGTAGAGGGTATCATCCATTTTGACGGTTCTGAACATTGGTCAATTGATGGACGTACAGGACTTGACCTTCGATACGTTCGTTTCCTCCTCTTTTTTTTTTGTTTATCTTCAAATATCACTGATCACAGAAAAAACGCTATCTCTACTACTTAATGACTTCATTTTCAAATATTAAATCAATCAAGCCTTATTACATCCTTTTTTTGTTAGGTTGCCCTTCATGAAATTGGACATGCACTTGGACTAAGACATTCCAACGATCCGAAAGCTATCATGAATCCGTATTACAGGTTTGAAATATATTTTTAAATTTTTAGCTTTTCTTTAATAGTGTTGCTATTATATGCTATACACATTTCGCTTGCAGCGATCAACTAAAAGAAGGTTTTGAACTTGGCGAAGACGATATTCTGGGTATCAGGAAGCTTTATGGAACTTCTTAAAAGAGTGAAATATTGTTTTGTTGATGAAATCTTTGACATAATTACTTTTTGATAATCATTTGAAGGTAGTAAAATTACTGACGGCTAAGTTCTAAAAGCAATCATATATTTTTTTCAGCAATGATAGATGATGAATGATTAGTTCTATTACTTTCATACAGCTATGAAAAATGCTTGTAAGCAGTGTGCGAGCTTTCATCTGGCCTAATTCGCTGATCCATGGAGTTCGGAATATTCTCGAAAAGAAATCATAGCATATAAAAAAATAATGTAAATTTATGTTCACTAAATTCAAAAAAAGAACATAGTAAAGAGTGATTTGAAAAGATTTATCATTGGTATTCATTATTTTTTATTATGTGAAGTTCAATTCAAATTATCATTAAAATCAAAACTCTGTGAGACATCACAGATAAAATGGAATTGCTAATAAACTATGCTTAACAAGTGAAATTCAAGCATAGTTCATTCGTTCAGCAGCAATCCAGAAATTCTTGTTGTCCGATGTACGCCATCCAATTGGACCAAATTCACAATCACCACACATCAGGACATCCAAATCATCCAAAGTCAGGAAACCGATCGTATCAAATGCATATTCGTTTGTTGTAAACCACCAAATATCCGTTTTTTCCATTTGTTTACCTTCCATTCCACCAACACTCATTTCTTTTAATTCTTTTGGATCCTTTCCTAAGAACAGAAGAAAAAGGCATATCAACTTTTAAAAAATTAGGAATTTAGTGGGAAAGTCCAAGATTAAAAAGATTTCAAGAAAATTTATTAGAAGAGGAAACAAATTGCATGATTGTCCCTAAAAATATCCCCTGCAAAATTTCTTACGATATTTTCAAACAAATACTGAATCACTCTATGCTTTGAAAATCCCGAGGATCACACAATGTACTTTATATAAGTTTAAGTAAGTTGATCTCAATGAGAAAAATCCTTGTGACACTTGTCAGATACCTTTCAGAAGTGTCACCCGTTTAGCACCAAGAACGATACATTGACAACGGCGACATAGAATTTTTGTTTTATTTCGTTGTTGATCGTCGACCAACTCATTAAAATCTTGCTTCTCATTTCTGCTACCATATTTCTCGTTTATTGCAGGCGCATTTTCTGTGAAAAGCTGTAAATTTAACTTTTGATATACTTCATTCACAGAAATTTCATATGAAATCGAATTCAATTCGACAAAAGTTATACAGAAGGAGAATTATGCGTGAATTAGGCATATAATTCTTATTTCTCTGATGGATTAGCAATATTTATTCATCATTACCTAATTAAACATTGCATAAATATTCAACTTACATTTTGCACGACCTCTTTCACAGGCATCATACCAATATTGTGAATTAATGAAGGATGAATGGATTGAAGAAAAGTTATTTATGAGTTCATTTTTGTTAGAAAATTTACATAAACAACTGCTTGGATAAATTACAATATAATACTCAATGAATGCTGCAATAACAGCATTAATGTTTCTGATAACATTTCTACGAACGTCTTTCCGGACATCCGTAAATCCATTTCGTCCAATTTCTACGTGCTAACCAATTGTTTACTTGTTAACTTTGCATATGCTTACGTTATGATTGTAAAAAATATATTTTTTTCTATTTACATACTGTTTTTCCGGCTCATCTAATCACTTATTTTTTTATCATCATACGATTACCCTGATGAAATGCCTTTATCGCACCTAAGGTCACTTAGTAGAATTAATATGATACGATAATCAGAAGGTTATCGATTTTTGTCTTCCGTTCATAGTCAATGCATAAATTAGGGAAATATAAAAGATAATCGTAAATGATGAGTTCAAAATGAAAAAATACTGTAAAGAAGTAATTGTTTTACATGTTTGCTTTAAGATTTAGGATTACATATTTCATTTGCAAATTTATGAATTATATTTATCAGTAATTTATTATCATCAAGAATAAATTATAACAATAAGGAAAATATGACTCTATGATTTGTTTTTTAATTGGAATGATAGATTTGAGAAGAAAGTTGAATTTATGCTTTTATTTCCTCCGTTTCAATTTTACATCCTCTTTTCTAAGAACATTACAAATTCTCATGAGAGAAATTTCAATGATAAGAATCCATCGAAAGTAATCCATCAAATAAACGCTAATAGCACGGACAGTGATTTGTCCGCTACAATTTTTATTTTTCTTATTACCTTTTGAATTATTCGAAATGGTTTTGAGTGTATGCGTAGGACAAAAGATCAATCGATTTGTGAGTTTGTGCATAACTGCACTACCTAATAGTATTCTGCCTAATTTAAATTATAATACTGAGAAGATTAAAATTTTCTGAATTTCAATTTTTCTAAAGCAGACAATGAAAAAGGTATAAAAAAGTACTACAAGTAAGGTTCATGTTTCATCAAACTGTTAGGTTCAATGACTTTGATAGTCATTTCAATTAATTGAATGTTAATAAGCATAGAAAAATATTTATAATTTAACTGAATTTGCTATCACTACTTTTTTTAATAATTAAATATCGCTAAAAAAAATAATGATAATATAGATCGTAATTGAAATGGAATGAAGTATTGTGAAGATTAATGAAAGTTAACTAGCAAATATGCTTGGCATGCGCATATTGAAAAAGGGAATTTATTAGGACAACGTAGCTGTGGAAAGCCTTTAATCAGATGCTACCACTTAATGAGTACGATTAAGTCATGAAAATATATACATTTAATAGTCGATTTCATTTGATTATTACAAAGTTTTAGCTGCTATTAAGGCACATACGTATCACTTCACTGATTTATTTGTAAAGATAAAATGATAAGGATTATTTATAGCTTAAATAAAATGATTAAATCATATAGATTAAATCATATCAAATAATCTCCAAAATTTCTTAATCTTAACTATTTTCTCTCTGCCTTATTTATTCATTTCTTTTTTCATTTACATGAATTTTGTATATATTAAGTTTAATTTGCATGCATTCTGCGTCATGCAATTCACTTACCATCATCGATTATTTCTGCTGTTAAATAGTTATCGGTCTTTTTTAGTTTTCTCCCAATATAATCGTTGTTTTTTTGCAAATAATTCATATAATTGGAAAAAATGAAATCAATTTTGTTAATCAGTGTTTTTTGCCTTTTATAACACTTTATCAGCTTACCTGCGACAAATGTATCAAGCTCCTCATCAATCATTACAAGCAGATCAATTGCTTGAATAGAGGGAATGATGGATTTCGAGGAAGAGATAACAGATTACAGGAATAATTTTTTAATACTAGAAATAAAGTGAAGTACCGTAAAGGACCTGAGAGATTTCTTTTCCCTATCCTTGAGAGATGAATATTTTAATAAAATAAATGCGTTTCACATATCTCATGTAGAATATCATAATGATTCCAAAAGCAATTAGGCAGAAAACTTTCCTCATAAAATAACGAATGAATAATCATATTATGCTTTTGATAGAGTTAGATCTGTAGCTGCTTGTAATTAGTTATATTCCGGATTTCAAATGAACATTAAATAAATTTTGCAAGCTATTTATCACTGTTGACAGCCAAATATACAAATTAAAATGTAAACGAAGAGAAAATTTGATACTGATTGATATATAAATTCGTATTGCTTATTAAGAGACTCTTAGAGTATTTGTTTTTAAATAATGCATCTTTTGCATATTTATTAGTATAAATGTTATCATATCATACAAATCTTGTACTACTTGTTATGCATCTATCATTTATTAATTCATAAATATTTCATCTTTTTTTGAAATTTGAATCAATTGGAGATATACGGTTGATATCGATGTACAAAATGACATTTTATACAAAATTCAAAATTCAATTTTATGCAAGTTTACTGATTGAGAAGCATTTCTCAACATTATATTATTATTTAATTTAATTTTATTTTATTTAAAGCTTTAAAATGCATCTATTTTTAATTCATCGATCTATTTTCAAAATTCATTTATTAATTAATTATAATTGCCTCAATGCGATTCAATAATAATGCTAATGAGAGTAGTTAAGGATGAGATAGAAGTTCCTATAATTGTACTTTGCCGAGAGTGAAGCGATGACTGATAATTTGTTTGAACAAATATGTCTTTTTTATCAATTTTAAATTTATTTCATGAAAAATTATACTTGAACAAATAATGGAGTAAAAATTTTTGTTTAGGCCATCATTAATAAAAAATAATTTGTTGATCAATCGCTTGAAGGCTTCATTTACTATATACTATATTTGATTTAAAAAATAAAAAAATTAGAGAATCTGTTCAATCACTGTAGAAAGAGGTTTTAATTATCTATCATAATTAAGTCACTTTCCTTTACTTTATTTCATAGCGATAATAGAGCGAATAAGTCGTATTGTCGGATTAAAGTGTTGGCATTATGAGATAGTTCCAAGGACCGTAATTTATCCATATCATTTCAAAAACGAACTTAAAATGTGACATTGACGGTCATATTTCTAAGCATTATCGAAGACAGGAAGAGGACAATGAGTGACAAAGAAGCAAAAGAAGCTGTCATTTTATCTGATACTTGATATTGAAAATATATTCATTTCTCTTCTTTTAGTTGTTTTTATTTCTACACTTTTTCCAACCACCTTTTGACATCAATATTTTATCGAATGAGTCAAAAATGTACAAAAAGAGTTTAGCACCTGGCAGAAAAAGTCCTCGATTCAGTGCAACATTCTCGATATCATCCATCATCTCTTCTCATTCACTGAAAAATTTTAGCATTAAAGAAAACATGACATTTTATTTTTGTCCTTTCAAAAATATTGGAGAAGTTGGAAAGTTTTTCTCGAGAAAATCATCGAATAGAACTGAAATCTTTTTTTTTCAACATAACAAAATGGAAATAATCCATTTTGTCATGCCGAAAAAAAAAGAATGCACTAAAATTCACTGACGCAATGTCAATTGAAATGCTAATTTAATTCCTTTTGTCAGGATTTCATG